GTTACTTTAATAATACTTTAGTATGACGAGATGATCTACAAAAATCAGCCAATCACAATAAAAGTTCGCTATGCTTAATGCTATGCAAATTTTCTTATTATACGGTTCAGTCAAAAACGATCCTGATTACCTGTTATATTCAGAAAAAATCGATCAAGAGATGAAATATCAGGTCTGCAAAATACAGTGTTATGTACCAGCATTTGAAGCTACAGATATCTCATGTCGTTTTTATTTATTCTACGAGATTCTGATTTTTTCGTTTAACCGGACAAACATGGACATTTGACTAATTCCCATGTCCATATTTGTGTAATACGTAGTCAATATTCGAAAAAAAAAACTTTTAAAATTTCTCATCCCGCGGGATACGCGAACAAATATGAATAATTACACTTTATTCATATCTCCTTTCCCAAAATCTATTTCGGAATTGTACTCAAATTTTGCAAGTATATTTGATTTGGACTAAGTGACTAAAAAATATAAATGATGAGCCAAATGTAATCACCAGATCTCTATTGAAATTGACTATATCATCTCATCTCCTGTGTGAACAATCTTAATCGAATCGTTCTTCTTAGAGTCAAGTGAATTATGAATACAATTTATTAAAGTTGTGCGGTTATTACCGTCATCAGCTGCTATAAAGATGGTCACATTCTTTTTGTCTATTCCCGTCATCAGCATTTTTGTTGTTTGGCAATAATGTTCTGTGGGTGTTGTAAAGTTGGTCATGAAACGATTCTTTCGCACTTTTAAGTGGATTCCTATATTATACTCTCCGAAATTATTGTCTATAAAAGTTGCTACTTGTTTGTTAAGATCTGGTTGTAGCTTTAATAATTTTTGACTAATTGTTCCGAATATTTTATTGTCCGGTATTATACTACTAATCCATTCTTTGTAGTTAGGATTCGAAATTACCGGTGCACAAACATAATCCCATGTGCGAACATATAAAATATCGTATGAATTTATTTCCTCATTACTAAGGTTTCCTCTAGTTATCAATTGGAATTCATTATCATTGTCGTTATGCAAATATTTGGAACTACTACTGTTATATAAGTTTGCAACGCTTTTCCAATCATGGTCAAAATCTTTCTCGAAATATTCTGTGAAACTATAAAACCCTTCAATAAAAAATAGCCTATCGGTAATCATCATTGAATATAAAAAACCACATATTAATACAGGTAATCGGTTCCCTAATCCTGCATTCATATTAGGCTGCACGACAATAACTTTTGGAAGCTTTGTTGAATTGTCTTTAGTAGTCTGTTCTAATAATTTTGCAACAGTTCGATTGTGTTTCTTAATATAATCGTCATAGAATGCATCAAATTTAGGAAATCTTTGCCTTTGTTTCTCTTTTTCTAGAAATTTTGAAGGCGGTATAATATTTTTATCTAAAAGGTCGTTATTAGTTGATAAGAATGAATATTTCTCAAATAAGCTACTAATGTAATATCCCGTTAAAAATAAAATAAGCACAACCGAAGTAATGGCAATCAAAATTAAATGTCTCATCGTATTTTTTAATCAAAAATTTTAGATTTAAACAAAATATAGTAGCTTGGGATAAGGTCACAAAAAGTTGATTTTTTTTTCGTTTTGAATTACCCACCGACCCAAATTCAAGTTTTTATTTTATTTTAATAGTTTTAATGAACCTAATTTAATGATATACAAGAATTACTCAGAAAATAATCTCAATATTTCGAGGGTGGTAGACAGTAAAAAGATGTTCAGTATGAATTCTTTCCCATATATCCTAAAATGATTATAGCAGTGAGCTTTGTTTAGGGTTAAGTTGGGATTTCAATAAAAGAAATTACAGTATTTATGACAACTGATAGGCTTCCTATGTAAATCACCAATATGAAGCAATCATCCGATTTCAGTATCGTTCCCGACTAATGATGCCGTAGAATTTACAGGTAGGAACGTCCCAAATAAGGAAACCGTTTTTGACTCAGGACCGACGATCATGCGTTTTAGTTAGCCAATCAAAATTGTGAATTTATAAATATTAATTCAATATATTATAATTAATAATAAATTTACAAAAACCACAGAATATTTCTAATAAAGTAATTTATAATAAATAATTTAAGTAACTCCGATTACTATACGTATTAAGATCACAGGAGAATTTATTACCAATTCATGCATAATTTATTATTTAATAAAAATATTTAATAAAAATATATATTATTTATTTATTATTTATTTAAAAAAATATATATTGTAAAAAAAAAATCTACATTATAATTTGAAAAAGTTTTTTTTTGCTTGATCTAACAAATTATCCATCGTTGCTATATCACCTGTCGCATCTTCAGCATCAGAATCATCTTCGTCTGCACTTCCAACATTTTCATCCATAAATTCCTTTCGCCTAAATCTTTCATCATACTTATTTTTATTGCTTCAACATTACTCTTGATTGCGTCCTGTAGATAGTCTAAACATATTAGACACTTAAAGTTATATTTTTGTAAGCAACGGCTATGATATCTGTGTTCACATGCGAGAACGTTACCATCATTTGAACAGTTAGTATAGTTAGTACAATCGCAATACAAATAATCGCATAAACCATTAATAAATAGTTTTCTAGAGGTAACGAAACCTCTCGGAAGATGGTGATCGGTTATTTCATAACCTAATGATGGTAGCTTATAAGAGTTAATATTATCATCGGACGAATTAATAGTTAAAAGATACAAATAACGCACTTTGTAGATCTTTGTAAAAACTTCTAAAAGCAACACAGCACATTTTCGGAATAGTATGTGCAACTGTTTCGGCTTATACAGATACTTCATGAAATTCACGAAATATTGACGGAAAGTATTATCGTCCCGATGCTGAAATATAAAATACGTCTCCTTCTGCAATTGACTTGCTGTGAAAAACTTGGCTGTACGTCATTGAATTATACTATGAATAGTTTCTACAGGACAATCGCTTAGAGATGCAAGATGATTAGTAACTAGATTCATCATTGGATGATTAGTATCCATCCAAAAAAAAATGTCAGAAAAAACATCAAAGGGGAATGCTTATAATTTCTTTGATCAAATCGAAGAAATAAATCGCACCAACAACGTATACAAGCTTCTTCGCATGCCTACCAGTTTCCTTCTTGATGGTAAGCCGCGTAAACGTCAAGAACTAAAGGAATTAGGTTATCTAAAAGATCGGTTAGATATAAAAATTCTAAATTTTTGCAAGTGTGGCCAAATTTTGAATAAATAACATTAGATATATCAAGCCACGCAATATGCATAAGATAGAGAATTAAATCAATTCTCCAAGGGTAAGGTTTTTTACCAAGATTCTTTTTTTTACCAAAAATTCCTTTGTAAATATCATTAAAAAGAAATAAATTTTTCTTGTAAATGAGTTCATGACCATTTAAAGACACGTGGAGAGGACCCATAATAGGCACAAACGATGCAACGAATGGAGGAATGACTTCATTGTTGAGAAAAAGCCGATGTATAATGGTCTTACGAATGAAAAATTGACCAGGCCAATCTG